AAATACAATGAATATCGTACGATGTAAAGTATCATCGAATACCGGGTGGAGTCGTGTAACATGTTCAGATACTTCTTTATTCCTGTTAACACAAGGATTAGGTCCATCTATATCGCAGTATACATTTCGACCATCCATTAAATGTATTAAAGAATGGCATTCGCCTGAGACGTGTACAACAGAGGAATATATTTTCGATCTTAAATGGAAACATAATTCACTTGCTGTTATCATTTACAATGAACAGAACAAAGAGACACGTCTCGAGTTACGCTCATCGGCAACACTTCAACGTCTCTGGTCTATTGGAGTCGGTTCAGCATTCCGTTGTTGTTTACTCTATGGTGATCAGTGGATGGTAGTAGATCCACTAAATAGTCGACTTTTTCATATTTCTACCGATGGAACACTCTTGAAAAACGATCGATACTCTCAACGACCATGGAACGTTATTCAATGGGGTAAATATGTGATCGGCATAAGAACTGCCGAAGGTATCAATTTACATTAACTCTGAAAAATATCCAATAGAAACTTTTTCTCTCATCTATAAAGCACAAAAGATATCGTCGGACGTCTTCTTTTCTCTTACGTAGTCACACATAAATTAAAAAAATATATATATTTATTGTCAAAAAACTTTTTTTTATTTCAGACTAGATCAAGAGTAATTAATAAAAAATAATTCAACTTCTACTCTCTTGTTTCTTCCGAAAGAGATCATTACTACACAAAATTTTGTTCGATTTGTTTAACAGAAAATATCGATCACACTCGATCTACATGTTATATATTATTTTCAGGGACAAGAATATGAACTAAAAAGTTTTTCGTTCATAGAGTCAAATTTGAAAGAAACGTTAACACATGACGGAAAAGTATTTTGAAAATAATTACATACAATTTAACATGTAAAGCAAAATTTCAAACTTGAAAATTTGAAAATCATTGAACTTTTCCTGTGGAGTCGAGCATTTAAATCATTATTTCTTTTACAGTTTCGATTTTTTAAGAAAAGATTTTTTCTTTTCGCAAAACTCAATCTTTCAAATTATTATTTTCAAAGTTCGTAATAATTTTAATGATAAATGTGCAGATTGGTCAAGCTGTAAGAATCAATTAAAATCGGTCTCACAGACAGATAGCGATGGAAGAAGAATTGAAGATTGTATCAATGGTAAGTCGATGTTTGTCGTGTAGGGCAGCACATTAAATCATTCGTTATTTTGTTTCCTATAGGTGCACCTGTATCATTTGTCCACCTAGGTGGACAGATGATACAGCTGATCTTCTGGTTATTACTATTGATTCCAGTTCTATGGTGTATCCGTTAATGATTTCAGCTCTGTTATATATGTACAGTTAGACACTTAGTGTTTTAAAATGTGCCAACTATTCTTCTTTCTAGAAAAATGTTCTGATGATAAAGTAATACTATACTTTATTTTTGTTTTGTTGTGTTGATATATATTTTATATAATAATTATTTATACTAGAAAAAGAAATGGTGTTTCTGTATGTTTTTCTGACCGATTGAACTTAACGGTATAGTCAAATACTTGACGGAATTTGAGAGTGAGAAAGTGACTTTCCATTTTTGTTCTAAAAGGAAATAAACAATACGTATAAGAGAATAAATTCACCACAAATGATCATCACGATGAACACTGCCCACCTTTAAATAATGGACTTGCAATTTAACTCTTATATTAAGATAATTTCGTGTTGCGTATTCACGACGTGCGTTGACTAATTATTGAGGCAGCTGTAGAAATGGCGGTTTAATATATTTTCAGAAACTTATCCATAGCTGTAGCCACTTAACCACAGATGAAAGTTACAAAGTTAAGCTGACATCTTATTACCATCCATCATAACACTTACTCTATAAATCGGCAAGCTTAAATAAAAGTATCATGAACAAAGTATACCAACTTCATCACAGCTTAAGGACATACTGGTACTCAAAATTAGAGTAGATCAAAACCCTTTTAGCTATATAATGCTTATAACAACTGTATGGTACCTAGATTACCACTAACTGCTAACCAAAAACTAATTGCATAAGAATCACCAACAACTGTTGTAAATGATTGAGTTAAAACAGTAAGACAGATTATGAAAGCTAACTGTGTTTAAAGTTATAACCAAAATAAGGGTGCAGTTGATTTAATTGATATCCAGTCAAGTTTCACCTAATGCATTAGAAAAACAACCAAATGGTACACGAAGCTCTTTTTCCATATCGTTGATATCGCTTCAACCAATGCTTTTTATTTATATAAAACGCACAACTCAAAGAAAACTCCGTTTTCGTAATACCAATTAAAAGTATAATAGTGACTAATGTGTTGAGACTTCACGCTTCAGCGCAACTCAGTTCACCTTCCAACTTTAAAGAACAGTTTTCTCTTCAGGCCATGAAGAGACCATCTAAAGAAACAAACGTGCAAAACGTCCATTGTCTAGTCCTATATGACACGATGTGTCATAAAAGAAAATTCAAACTAAAATTTTATGAGGATACATATACCTAATTTTTGTTTTACTGTGCATATTTACAAGTACACTCACTTTATACTATGAGATTCAAACGCAAGAATCTCAACCTTCCAGTTTGTTTTATCATCAATAGTACGGCTATGGTCAGACGTCCTTGAGAATCCACTACCCCCAAAAGCATTTTTATGTTCTTGTTTTCGCTTTTCAGTTCTCACTGTTTCGCCAATAAAACTGTTTGTGCCTCACCTCACCAACAGTCATATGTATACAACACTCTTTTGTCATTCACCGTCTCACGAAATGTTTTTCTAAATAGATGACAAGGTCTGTTCTTGAAATCAAAAGTGAACACACTCATTGGATGAGAAACCAATCTGTTCAACTGGTTAGCTAAATTAATGAGCGCTCTTCATAATAAGGCATAGAGAAATAAAATCGTGTTTGATTTCGAGGAGGAACAGATCTATTTAATTACAAACTACTCCAGACCATCTCACCCCATAAAATCATTATAATTATAAAAGCATTATAAAAATAACAAGAAATAATTACTCTAATAAATACTAAAGACACTAAAATCAACTCATTTTAAGAATCGATTTCAACATCAGAATCACCTCAACGTATCAATAAAAGGAGGATAGGTTGCCGTCATGCGTTCGTGATCAAGATACGCATTGCGTCGGTGTCATGTATGACATTATTACCTCATTACTTTTTTTATTCGATAATTGTAATACTTGACTCACCAAGGTAACAAACATTTTTTTCTAACAAGGATATAAAAAGGCCGTCTTTTGTAGGTAAAGCAAATCAGAAACACAAACGAACAATACCACTTTGTATACTCACTGGTAAGCCCGTGTAAGCAGTATAATTCACAGTAAACTAGAAGGGAACTCCGTATTTCTCTTAGTACTTTAAATAAATATGGGCTTGGGCGAGGATTTGCTTATTGGTGGTGCGCTAGGCTTGGGCGCCTATGAGTTGTACCATCATCATCAATATGGTACTTGGGGTTTTGGAAACCCCTATAATAATGGAAACTTTGGAGGTGGATTTGGAGGGTATGGTGCGCCGTATGGCTACGGATACCAGCAGCCAGGTTTCGGTACCGGTTTTGGTCATCACCATCACCACCATCATGGATTTTTCTAACAACATCCAAAACTTTTCACCGATAATGCATTAACCAAGAAATGTTTTGTTTAAAAAACATTGCGTATTCAAACCACGTTTGTCCAATTACTTTAAATGATTCTTTTAATTGTTCATATGTATGATAAATTGTTGTAAATTTTGTTTTATTAAACGCAGACTTCAGTATAAAAAGGTCAAAACGAGAAGCAAAGCACACACACGTTGAATAAAACTGGAACCCGCAGCAGATATTATGCGGTCATAGAGAAAGAGAAAGGGAAACGGAAAGTTCAGCACGAGGAAAGATCAGCGAAAGTATTGATATTTCACATTTTGGGAGCAAAAGTCAAAATTGTGATTCTTGCAAAATGCCAAGAACAATATATTGTATATAATATATACAATCTATGTTTGTAAACTGACATGGAGTGTGTATAGATCATGCCTGCAAATATAAATCTATATAAACCAAAAGCACGTTTGGATATAGATGGTTTCTCATAAAATCTTGGCCTTTCGAAAAACACTCATAACTTTTTAT